GTCATGACCTGAGGGGCCCCTGAGATGCCTCCAGGGGACATGGGGGTAGGGGGAACCCAAGTACAGCTGAGGGAGAAACTAACACTGGGTCCTAGGGTGGTATTTGGCTTTAAATTTTTCTCATCATGTAAACAATTCTCTGGAGAGTTACACTTTCAACCCCCCTTACCTGGGGGAGCCAGGTGGATCACATAACCATCGCCCACATAGAGGGCCCAGTGCGAGGAGCCAATGCGGGAAATCTCAATCAGGTCTCCAGGCTTGGGCTCTGCATGAAACTGCAAAGAAACAGCCGGGAGAGTGAGACAGATTTCAGGGAGCTGCAGAGGCCCGGGCTGGGAGCTGCAGCTAGGCCTGGGGATATGCTTACTGATGCTCACCCCATGGGAAGAGTGTGTGTGTGGAGGACTCTAGTCCTCTGTGGGGTCCTCATCCTGCTGTAGCTTCTAGAGGGTGCCCTGTGAGTAACTGGAAGCCTGGAAAATTGACCTCGTGCATTGGGAGAGTGAAGATTTGTACAGAATGTGTATGTACTGTATGTGTGTCTGTGTGTACTGTGCATGGATATGTTGTGTGTTTCATGTACACACACTCACACTAGGATGCAGACTTGGATATACAGGTGTACTGTGTATGTGTCCGGAGGGTAATAACACAGCAGCCTGTAGGTAACCCCCTTCCCTGAGGCTGGGGCCCAGGCCCTTCCGCGCAACACTGTCCAGGTGAGTCTGAGCTTCTCTGCTCTCACACTCTGACCCTCATGTCTCCATCCTGTGTTTGCCCTGGCTGTGCATGGCCCCAACACCCACCACCTCACACTCTGCCCTCCCAGCCCCGGCACACGGACCCTTGAAGGTGCTGAGCTGACAGACAGCAGGTGGCAGCACCCTGAGGGCACCTGAGCATTGGAGAAGGCCCTCCTGTTGTTGCCCAGCTTCCTGCCCTGGGCACAGGCTCACAGTCCCCCAGCAGGCTCTGCGGGCACATTTCCCCCATAACTGCTACCCCCCAAGCCCAGGGGAAGGAAGCAGCACCCACGTGCTCAGCTGGGGAAACTGAGGATCAGAGTGGTAGAGGGACTTGTCCAGGGACATTCAGCTGGCCGTGGCTGCACTGGGTCTTCTCTGACACGACCCTTCTGGTCCCCTTTCCTCCCTCCCTCCCTGCCTTACCACCTCCTCCCTGCTCCTCAGTGTCCCTGCCCAGGGTACCACAGCTTCTTGAAAAGTGAATTTTTTACCCTTTATTACTGTTTGTGTCTGACCTCAGCTAACCTCCTGCAGCGCTCACCCCAGGCCGCCCAATCTGAGACCAGGGGTCAGCTTCCCTTTGCCCTCATCCCATGCCATCATCCAACAGTGGTCATTTAGCCTGGAAGCTTCTCTGGAATTCACTTCTTTGTTCATCTTTCCCCCATGACTTTATTCAGGACCATCCTGTACTTGATTATGTGACCCCATGTTTTACAGACCCACCCCCAGACTTCTGTCCCACCCAATCCGGCTCTTGTGTGAGCCTCCATGGTTGGGCCATTTGGCCATGACCAGGATAGGTAGGGAAGGGGCTTCTTGTTTGGGCTCATTGGGCCAGAGCTCTGGGGGTGAAAGTGGGAATGGCTCTGTGGTCTGAGCTCTGCCTGGGCTCCAGCTCTGCAGAGGGAAGTGGTGGCAAAGCTGAGGAGAAAGGGTGGTAAACCATGGCCTCAGGCATCACTCTGCTCTGTGTACTGTTCCCAAGTGCAGCCTGGAAGATTCTATCTCCAGCCCACCTCAGCCTGAACTCCAGACTCACAGATTCAGCTGCTACTCAACAGGTCCACCTGGATGTCTAATGGTCACCTCAACACCCCACATGAGCATTAAATCTTAATTTTCCTCCCAAACCTGCTCCTCCTCCTCTCATCTCCTCCATCCAGGCTGCCCGTCACCCAGTCACAGGGGCTGTGAGCCCTGGA